TGAACAGAAAGGTTTTCAACTGCTTTTTAAAAGAGTCACAGAGTGAGCTGACGATAGCTGAAGTGAAAGCTTTTAAAACAAATCTAAAAACCTACTGGAAGCCAAAGTATAGAATATAAATACAAATAATGTGAGCTCACTTACTAGAATGCATTAATAGTTTGGCTGCTGGATTTTGTATAGCTTGTAGGCATGAAAGAGACAATTTATCTAAGCCCATAAACAGGGCAGTAATCTAGGTGCAACAACAAAAATGCAGCAATAATTTTCTTCATTTCAGATGGGGAGACTATGGCTCGCAATTTAGAAATTTCCATAAATGAAAGAAGCAAGAACGTGAGACAGATTTTACATTTGACTCAAAACCCAGAGACGACTCAAATATCAAACTGAGATTAGGAGCACTGGACTTCTCAGATGAGCAGAAGGAAGCAAGCACTTGACTGATTTTTGGATGTAGTTCAGGAGGAGCTATAATCATGGTCTCAGCCTTACTGGAATTTAAAACAAGGTAATTGTTGGAAAGCCAGTCACTAATCCAGGATAAACAATCAACTGGAGTGGACAGCCTATCCAGTTGGCGAAGCTTAAAAGATATATACAGCTTAATGTCATCAGCATAAAGGTGAAAAGAAATGTAATCAAAAGGCTGAATGATGCTAGCTGACGAAAGAATGTAGAAAGAAAATGATAACGGACCGAGGATTGATCCTTGTGGAACCCCAAAAATTAGGGAAGCAGTGGTAGGGGAGCACTTGCTCGCCTTAACCAACAAAGTTCCAGATAATTAGGAGGGAAACTGATCTAATACAGAGCCAAAACCAGCCAAAAACTTAAGCATATTAAGTAAAATATTGTGACCCACACTATCAAAGGCAGAAGTGAGATAAAGCATTCTGAGCACAGAGCAATGCCCTACAACAGCTGCTATTAAAAGACCATTATAGATCTTTAAAAGAGAAGTTTCAATTAAGTTCTTTTGAGTCTCTCTTGCTTATTTTTGAGTTCAATTTGCATTATAAGGATTTGAATGGACATTATACATCTTTGTCTAATACATTTGAATCAATTTCAAAATCAAACCCCAATCAAGATTATTTGGGGGGTTCTTTTAAGGAATGCAATTACCTCAGCATGCTTAAAATTGCTAGGAACAAGACCTTGTCTCGCTGTGCTGTTAATGACGGTTTGGTAACTTTTAATTTGTTTTAGTATTATGAAATACTAAATACTGCACAAAACAAAGAGGTAGGGCCACATGTCAGGGCCAGAAAGGATATTGTGTTTGCAGTCATTCTTCAAAGAAGGCGTGTTCTGAAAGACACCACTGCAAGTGTTTTGCACTTTGTTCTGCTTTTCAGTTGGTGATTTGTTTCATTTTCTCTGTTAAATTTTTACTATCATTTTCAATCACTGGCAGATTTAAGGACTAAAATCTGCTTAGCCAGGTTTAGGAGCAGACAACATGCTTTCAAGCGATCATAATTTAAAATTTTTTATAAATGCAGTTTTTATAAATTATGTCATAAAAATATTTTTGAATTGATGATCAATTCTGAATCCAAATTTAAAATAATTACTGAAGATTCCTATGACACCTAAATACCATTACAAATACTATTCTTGATTAGTTACTTTAGCTGAGGAAATAAAATCTGTTCCCATTTTTTTATGATAGTTTTACACATTTATGGTCAGAGACCAATTCTGTCACATCACAAGCAGCTGACAGGGCTGTCGCAATATACCAGCACTGACAATAACCATATTTAAAAATGAGAACTGATATCCCATCAAAAACTCTTCCTCTTCAGTGAAAGACTTTCAGTAACTACTATAGTGCAGCATGAGCTTATCTACAGACTGCATGGCTCATGGGATTCACTGTTCTGTAGCGACAGCTCCTTCTCTCACAAAGCAGGAGAGACTCACTTCCCATAATAAACCCACTAAGTTAGACTGAGTCACTTACACATGTGCAGTAAGGCTGTTGTTACGTTGTTGAGTGAAGCAATGAAGAAAGGCGAGCGCCGTTGAGTACTTAATTTAATTACCAATTTGTTGTCTGCACTTGCTGCTGCTTTTCCCCTTTATTCTGCTTTCCAAGCGCTCAGAGCTAACGCTAGGGCCTTTTTAGATGCACTACTGCCCTGCGCCATGACTCACAGGTGTGTCTACAGTTCTTGGCTGGCCTGATTGAGTTATTGCAGTTTGGTGCTCAATTTGAGCTGATAACGTTTGCGCAAAAACTACTGAATGTACTGCATAGATCAGTGACATTTGTTCATACTGGTTTAGCTTTTTTTAATCTTATTAGATGCAGTGGTGACTTAGAAAGTCTTTTCAGACGTTTTAATGTCCTTCATTCAATTTGTCAATGTCATTACATTCTGGTAATGGCTCTTGCCACATTTTTTGCTAATGCAACAGTAAGGAAAACACTCTCTGTGCTAATTAATCCGAGTATAAAAATCACCTTCTTGTGTGGCCTAATGTGGACTAAGATTAATGTGCCAGACATGTCTCACAACTGATTTGATTAATGAAAAGGAATACTTTAATATTACTAACACTGTATAATGCATAGGGTGACAGAACACTGGACTGTAAACTTGGTACAGTATATAAATAAATACTGCATTGGATTTCCATTAAAGCAGTGTGGTTGAACAACCCCTACAAGTGGCTGGCAATTTGTTAAATGAGTTAATTGGTCACCAGTTCATCTAATTCATCATAATGCCTGTTTCTGGACCACACCCAAAGAACAGTGAATTAGGCAGGCAGTGCAATCAACAGTTACACTGAGATCAAATATAGACGTGAACCCCAAAGCAGAAGGTATTCCACTTGAATTTTTAAGTTGGTCACCTTTTAACTGTTCTTTTTGGGGAAAATTGCAGCCTACGCCAAGTCTTAGCGCCCAAACACTGCTATTTTAAGTCTGATGCAGAACTGTTTACTCATTAATTGCCAGGTGGTGCAGGTACTGGAAAGCTACAGGCTGGGGGAAAGGCCCTAACCTTTATGCACTGTCTAAACGTCCTCACTTTCTCCTTGAACATCTATCCTTAACTGTGCTCTTCTGGTCCCCTCCCTGTCCCAAAGTGGCCAGCTGGGAACGGTGCGCATGTGCTGACGTCCCTACTAACCTTGGCCAGTGTAAGGATTACCGTGCATTTACACTCAATGCTCCTTCTTTCCTTAAGACTTATTAAGAATGATAATGAGCTCGGAAAGGGGCAGCTTGTCCCTTTCTCAACTCTGTGAAGGCTCTTCTTCTCTCTGTCTTTCTCTTCCTCACTGTTCGCTCGTCTTGTTCTTCTTTCTGCTCCCGCTCTCCACCCTTTCTGCAGTCTCTCTCTTTTCCCCAGTCCATGCCTCTCTCCCTCTTTCTCCATCGTATTGAAAGGAGCCAGGACAAATTACCAAAAAGGCCATTTTCATCTATGAACTGCAGGATTTAATCGATACTTATTTCATGCCTTCAAAATCAACCCTATATTACTGTTGTCTGCGTGATTTGTTTATTTTGCTTTAGAATATTCCTTCAGTCGAGTGGAGGGGGGGGTGGGGGGAGATGCACGGGATGCAATTCACCTTGAACCTCCATTATATTGGATTTCTCTACTGGCTGATCAAGCATGCAAAAAGGACATTTCCTCAGCACTAAAATAAAAACAATAATGATGATTAAAAAAACATGTGTGCTATTTGTGCCGGTGTAAGAGTATGTGTTGAAGGCAGTGTATTTTTACAAGGAAAACACTATGGTTGTGGTAGTGTGAATATGTATACAAAAATCATTACACTGTGGGCAATTGATAAAGCTTAGGTGCCGGGGAAACAAAAGTAATAGCTCCTGAAGCCTGTCGAATGCAGCCTGGGATTACAGATGCTTATTTGACATCAAAGACCCGAGGTCCACAGCCAAGGTCATACAGAAGAGGAATACACATGGGTTTAATTTTACACACCCCTTGACAGATGCAGATGGGTACTTATGAGACATGAGGCATTTCACTGACTGATAGAGCTGCAAGCAATAAGAATCTTGGAGGCATCGCACACTGATTAACTAATGAGATTCTCAACCATTTTAGTGAACCAAGGGTTCAGCACTACAGGCAACATTTCAAGTCCATTTTAGAGACGGAGAACCCGAAACGAAAGGCCCACCGCATCCATAAATACTGAACTAAGCACACAAAGCGAATTTTCAATTAAAACCGCACAAATGGACAGTTATCATCTCAACTATCATCTCTGCCTACCTCTCTGGCAGAGAGGAGAGCGAAAGAGAAGCAGGGAAGGAAGGGCAGTATGTTTGACATATGGATATTGCAGTGTCTCTTCAATGCCGAAGACAGATGAGAACCTGCGCCACCGGCCTGACAGTGAAGGCTGGCTGGTGTCCAGCTAAAGATGGACCTCCAGACAGCAGGCACATGCCGTTACACTTGAGAGCGGCACCGAGGGAGCACACGGGGCGGAAGAGTTGGAAACGGCTTCAGCTGATCACTTTGCAGCTCTTCTTTGCACAGAATGTACAAAAGCTATTTTACCTTAGCCCTGCGATGGACCGAGGTGAACTGCTGTACTCTGTAGTGTCACCTGCTGTTGGTTTTTATTTTTGGTATGCTCATAAAACAGGAGACATCAGTAAAGCGAACTCGCATATAGACCGGCTAATGACTGATACTCAAAACACGCAAAATGCTATGTAATTTCATGTCTAAGCATGTGTTTTTTAAGCTTGCCTTGTTTAAGTGCCAAGTGTGTGCTTGCTCTGCATGCATGAATACATCTGCAACAGTTAGGCTGCACAGCTGCTGCATCATGAGGGTATTATGGAAAATACCTCAAAAGCACACACTGTGTGCATAATGCATCTCTTCACATGATGAAATTATTTCATCTACTAGTGATCTGTGGGACACACACACACACAAAATCAAAGGATAAAAAAACCTGGGAAGAAAAAAACTTTTCATGTTTACCTTGTGTTGTACTATCAGTGGCATTTTTAATATAGAAGATGGCTTTCCTTGAATGATCTGTTTAACCAAAGACAGGAGGGAGAGAGGAAAAAAAGGGGGAGGGGGGGGGGGTAATTAATTACTTTTGTGCTATTGCACGGGAGAGACAATAAACCTGCCTGGTCGCCATGGATATGACATATTTGCTCTGAAAACAACACAATAATTAGCAAAGGAGAAAGATCCGGCGAGAATATGAGAACTCCGGGTTTAAAGTGCCAGTGATCTATTCCTGTCCTCCTCATCATCCCTGAGAACAATAACAAACACAGTGGCAAGCACACAGCAAAGACATCTATAAATGCGCAAGAGAACAAACAGTGACCCTTTACAAAAGCATGTTAAATTAAATCTCACATCACAGTGGTGTTTTGTAGAGATCACAACTAACCAAACACACGCAGTGTTTTAAAACAGATTGTTTGTTCGACAGTAAGTGGAAGTCAGAAAGCCCATGCAGTCACTGAGAGCAGGAACTGCATCATATTTACCATAGCAAATATAGTTTAGTGGTGTGTGGTGTCAGACCTGCCAAAAGCTGAAACTACATTATCGGTAAGAAGCCTTACAACGTTAAACAATAATTATTAATAAGTAGAAAAGGTCTGATGGGGTGATGCACTTTGCAGGTTTCAGTTGTGACTAAGATCAGACACTGCGGCCCCAATTAACCTTTTTACCCATGCAATATACAGAAAAGAAAAAAAATAAGTCATTCACAGCCAAACTTCAAAAGCAGAACTTCCGCAATTCAGGCTTTGAATATTGATTGCATTTATAGCAGTTCCTCTATTTACAGTAAATGATACTGTGTGAAGGCTACTACCTGTTTAGGGGCAGCCAAGGAGTTTCACTAAGTTTTTCTCGACTTTAAAAGCGGGACTTTCGGCGATGAAGTCGCTCTTTTGTGCCTTTTTTGTTATGTTTTGTTGGGGTTTTTCTCATTGTTGCACTTTTGGATAAGTGCAAACTAACAGGAACAGCCTATGATAGCTTGTACGTCCAAAACTGCTGATTAAATAATAAAGAAAATAGCGCGTGTCAGTTCTGTTTTCACGCAGTCCTCTTTTTATATTTTGAGGAAGGGAGGACGTACTCGAGCTCACCTTGACTGGGCAATAAAAAAAGAAAAAGTACAAACTTATGGGGAGGAAAAAGTTACACCTTTCTGTCTCAACTTTGAAACGGGGGCTGGCTTTTGCTTGCTTGCAGTTTCCTTGTCTTCTTTAGACGGTTTAAAATGAGACCGCTGTGTGAACTAGCAGATTTTAAGGAAAGCCCGGACCCCTCGCCGTCATTTTCAAAGGTACAGTAGGTTCAGTCGGACTGTGTGGAGTCGCTCCAGACCTGCCGCTGTTGCTGTCGGCGCTGCCGCTGTAACCGAGGCTGCTGCTCGCACCGTGTTTACAGTCCTCACATCAACTCTCTATCCTACAGTATCGCTTCTACGACGTTAAATACCGCTTGATAATGCTATTTGTTGGTGTCCTCGCTGGAGCTGGGGACACTTTGATGTCCTTTTCAGCGCGGGGTGATATGTTTTGGAGATGAAATGAGCGTGTGCTGTATAGTTGAGAGCAAAAGGAAAACTCTTACCTGTGCTACTTCGCTGTCTCTCGGTGACTTCCAACTCAGGGGAGGTGTGAGTGTGCTTACGGTGGCCGGTGTGAGAGCTTTCATTATTAAAGTTCCCACATTTTTTTCAGTTTTTTCAGGTTTTATTGTAGCATTTTCTAATTTCTTACAGGGCGAGTTGGCCGGAAGATCTGCCCTGGAGACCGGCTCCAAGTGGGAAGAGGAGCCCTTAATTGAATTTCTCGGTTAGCAGGTGTTGATCGGAAAACCTGAACTGGAGTTTAGGATAGTCTCCCTTGACGACTTGATAACAGTTAACTCTTTCAGTGTATTGTGGTTATTAAAAATATATATATATCAATTAAAAACTACAATCTGCGCCTTCCGTTTAATGAAGAGGAACTGGAATTTAAATATTGCCCTTAAATACCAAATAGCTACCAAAGTGTTTTATGATATGAAGCTAGCTGAGGAGGGTGTGTGTGTGTGTGTGTGTGTGTGTGTGTGTGTGTGTGTGTGTGTGTGTGTGTACATGAATATTATGGTATTAACATTTATCTGGCAACCTGTTTGCATTAACTTACAACTTAACTTGTATTGACTTACACTTAGCAGACACTTTATTTGGTACACCTTTTTAGTACCTACCTAGTAGTAGTAGTAGTTGTACACCCTTTTGCCTTCATAGCTGCCTCAATTATTCATGGCATAGATTCAACAAGGTGCTGGAAACATTCTTCTGAGACTTTGGTCCATATTGGCATGAAAGCAACATAAAGTGGCTGCAAATTTGTCAGCTGTACACCCATGATGAGAATCGCCTGTTCGACCAGATCCCAAAGGTGTGCTGTTGAATTGAGATCTTCTGACTGTGGAGTCTGTATGAGTAAAGTGAACTCATTGTCATGTGTGTATTTTTTGCATCCAAGTGTAATAGAATAGCTTTAGTGTTTTGTCTTTTTAAATTTGAGTATGAATGTATACAAAATGCAGCAAGATATTTACCAAAAAACAGTTTTATTAATTATAAAACAGACAAATTTCCGACCGTGGCTCAGGGGATTGGGAAGCTCATCTGTAACCGGAAGGTTGCCGGTTCTATCCCCCTGCTCTCTCTGTCCTGGTTGTGTCCTTGGGCAAGACACTTTACCCTACCGCCTACTGGTGATGGCCAGAGGGGCAGATATGTCAGTCTACCCCAGGGCAGCTGTGGCTACAACAGTAGCTTGCCTGCACCGGTGTGTGAATGTGAGAGTGATAGTGGAATTGTAAAGTGCTTCGAGTGCCTAGAAAAGCGCTATATAAATGCAATCCATTATTATAAAAACTGGTATCATGCCATCCCTAATATATATATGTGACAGCACGATGGTGGTACTCCAGCTTCCTCCCACAGTCCAAAGACATGCCGTTAGTGGGGTTAGGTTAATTGGTGTGGTGATTCTATATTGGCCATAGATGTGAATGTGAGTGCAAATGGTTGTCTGTCTGTGTTAGCCAACAGACTGGTGACCTGTCCAAGGTGCATCCTGCCTTCTGGACAAGACAGCTGG